AATGATTCGCCCTAGTACATCTCCGTATCGTTCACCGTGCGTTTATGTCCCTAAAAAGAATGGCTCGGTGAGAATGTGTATCGACTTTCGTGCGTTGAATGCCCTTACGGAGGTTGATTCGTACACACTGCCTCGCCCTGATGATGTACAAGAGCACTTAGCGGGTTCGAAAGTGTTCAGTACACTTGATTTACAGTCTGGTTATTGGCAGTGCCTTCTTCGTCCTCAGGATATTCATAAGACAGCTTTTTGCCCTGGTCCTGGTTTTCCGCTCTATGAGTGGGTCCGCATGCCCTTCGGACTCTGCTCCGCTGGAGCCACCTTTCAACGTCTGATGGACCAAGTACTTAATGGACTACCTTTTGTTCGGGTCTATCTAGACGACATCCTCGTGTTCTCGCCCGATGCTGAGACTCACGAAGACCATTTGAGACAAGTCTTCGCACGCCTGCGTGCGTGGGGCTTGACGTTGTCCGCCGAGAAGTGCGAGTTCGGTTGCCCTTCTGTGCCCTATTTAGGACACATTTTTGACGGGAACGGTATGAGACCCGATCCGACTAAGGTAGAGGCAATCTTAAGATGGCCTCGCCCTGGTAACGTAGCAGAAGTGAGGTCCTTTTTGGGTCTCGCTGGCTACTACCGCAACTTCGTTCCTAACTTCTCGGACGTGGCACGACCAATTCAACGGCTGGTGTCAGAGGTCGGAAGTGAAACTTTGGCTTTGGATACCTACTGGGGACAAGAGCAAGAGGAGTCCTTCCGGGCCCTCAAGCTTCGTCTCGCAGCCCTGCCCTTTTTAGCTTACCCTGATTTCGGTATCCCCTTCGAGCTCTATACTGATGCAAGCGACTATGCCATTGGAGCTGTCCTTATGCAAGAAGGAAGGCCCTTGGGATTTTTCAGTAGGACGTTGACGGGCTCCCAGCTCAATTGGCATACATACGAGAAGGAAGCATACGGTATTCTACAAGCCCTGATTTACTTCCAACACTACCATATCGGCTACCCCTTGACGGTTACGGTATATACAGACCACGAGCCCTTGACTTGGCTAGCTAAAGCCGGCTCAAAGAAGCTGGAGCGATGGCTTTTGGCCATGCAGGCGTATTCCTTCATAGTGAAATATGTACCAGGTAAGAAAAATGTGTGTGCTGATGCTCTTTCCAGGATACGCCAGCTCGACGACGATACCCTACCGATGGAGCCGATGAAGTCAGAGCCTCTTATGACGAAGCCAGCCAAGGACGTTGACACTACCCGTGCCCTTGTATCTGTTGTAGCCGCTCGTCGACAATTAGCTGCTTGTATAACGGCATTGTCGGCACGGTGGTCGATCGACGATATAAGGCGAGAGCAGGATAGTGACGATGTCACAAGAAGTAAAGGACGTCTTTCGGACCGTTGCCTTACGTAGACGAGTTGACCGACCTCGCCTTCCGTCCT